TACCAAAATCAGTTAAAGAGACTAAAAAAAAGAAAATTACAAACCAATATCCCTGATGTACATAGATGCAAAAATACTCAACAAAATATTGGCAAACTGAATTAAAAATTACATCAAAAAGATTATCCATCATGATCAAGTAGGATTTATTCCAGGGATGCAAGGATGGAATAACATTTGAAAATCTATCAACATCATCCACCACATCAACAAAAAGAACAAAAACCACATAATCACCTCCATAGATGCTGAAAAAGCATTTGACAAAATTCAACATCCATTCATCATAAAAACTCTCAACAAAATTGGATACAGAGGGCAAGTACCTCAACATAATAAAGGCCATATATGACAAACCCACAGCCAACATCACTTAACAGCGAAAAGCTGAAAGCTTTTCCTTAAGATTGGAGAAAAGACAAGGATGCCACTCTCCCCACTTTTATTCAACAAAGTTCTGGAGGTCCTAGCCATGGCAATCAGACAACACAGAAATCAAACACATCCAGAGTGGCAAGGACGTAGTTAAACTGTCACTGTTTGCAGATGAAATGATATTGTACATAAAAAGTCCTAAAGACTCCACTCCAAAACTCCTAGATCTAACATCTGAATTTAGTAACGTTGCAGGAAACAAAATTAATACACAGAAATCTGCTGCATTCCTATACACTAATGATGAACTAGCAGAAAGAGAAATAAGGAACACATTTACATTCACAATTTCATCAAAAACAATAAAAAACCTAGGAATAAACCTAACCAAGGAAGTGAAAGACCTATACCCTGAAAATGACAAGACACTCATGAGAGAAATTAAAGAAGATACCAATAAATGGAAACACATTCCATGCTCATGGATAAGAAGAATTAATATTGTCAAAATGGCCATCAACAGATTCAATGCAATTCCTATCAAAATACCAACAGCATTCTTCAATGAACTAGAGAAAACAGTTCTAAAATTCATATGGAACCACAAAAGACCCCAAATAGCCAAAGCAATCCTGAGAAAGCAGAATAAAGCAGGGGGAATTATGCTCCCCAACTTCAAGCTCTACTACAAAGCCACAGTAATCAAGACAATTTGGTACTGGCACAAGAACAGACCCACAGACCAATGGAACAAACTAGACAGCTCTGATATAAACCCAACCATATATGGTCAATTAATACATGATAAAGGAGCCATGGACATACAATGGGGAAATGACAGCCTCTTCAACAGCTGGTATTGGCAAAACTGGACAGCTACATGCAAGAGAATCAAACTGGATTATTGTTTAACCTCATATACAAAAGTAAACTCAAAAAGGATTTAAGACTTGAATGTAAGTCATGAAACCATAAAGCTCTTAGAAGACAACATATGCAAACATCTCCTGAATATAAGCATGAGCAACTTCTTCCTGAACCCATCACCTCGAGAAAGGGAAACAAAAGCAAAAATGAACTCATGGGACTACATCAAACCAAAAAGTTTTTGTACGGCAAAGGACATCATCAACAAAACAAAAAGGCATCCTACAGTCTGGGAGAATATATTGACATATCGACAAGGGATTAACATCCAAAATATATAAAGAACTTACGCACCTCAGCACCCAAAAAGCAAATAACCCAATTAACAAATGGGCAGAGGATATGAAATTCCAAATGAATTCCAAAGAAGAAATTCAGATGGCCAACAGACACATGAAAAGATGCTCCACATCACTAATCATCAGGGAAATGCAAATTAAAACCACAATGAGATATCACATCACACCAATTAGGATGGCCAGCATCGAAAAGACTAAGAAAAACAAATGCTGGAGAGGAAGCAGAGAAAGGGGAACCCTCTTACGCTGCTAGTGGGAATGTAAATTAGTTCAACCATTATGGAAAGAAGTATGGAGGTTCCTCAAAAAACTCAAAATAGAAATACCATTTGACCCAGGAATTCCACTCCTAGGAATTTACCCAAAGAATACAAGTTCTCAGATTCAAAAAGATACATGCACCCCTATGTTTATTGCAACACTATTTACAGTAGCAAAATTATGAAGCAACCAAAGTGTCCATCAGTAGATGAATGGATAAAGAACAGGTGGTACACATACACAATGGAATACTATTCAGCCATAAGAAAGAAAAAATTCCTACCATTTGCAACAGCATGGATGGAGCTAGAGGGTATTATACTCAGTGAAATAAGCCAGACGGAGAAAGACAAGTACCAAATGAATTCCCTCATTTGTGGTATATAACAATGAAACATAACTGAAGGACCAAAACAGCAGCCGACTCACAAACTCCAAGAAGGGGTTAGCAGTTACCAAAGGGGAAGCATGGGGGAGGGTGGGCGGGGAGGGAGAGAGAGAAGGAAATTGAGGGTTATTATGATAAGTACAAATGGTGGGGGCGGGGGGGGGGATCTTGGGGAAGACAGTGTAGCATAGAGAAGACAAGTACTGACTCTGTGGCATCTTACTACATATATACAGTGACTGCATGGGGGGACTCAATATGGGTGAATGTAGTAACCACATTGTTTTTCATGTAAAACCTTCTTAAGAATGTATATCAACAATATCTTAATAAAAAATTTGTTAAAAAAAATGATCCTTTCTTCAGAAATAATATGCTCTTCCATATATTTTAAATGGGCTCACAAATTTGATAATATGCAGTCAATACATCACAAAATTCACTTTCGAATAAAAGTGAAATAAATAATGAAAATAATTAAATCCTTATTGTCCACACTTTATTTGTTCTCTGTATGTAAACTAAGATAACGTTTATCTCAAATGAAAGATAACCCAGAAGCTGCAAAAAGAAGTAAAAGGCAGAGTTCTGCTAGACTGAGTGACTTTGATGATGTTCTAGCTCCCTCTGTTACTAGTAAACTCTCATTACTATTCCTTAAAACAGTAACTATTAAGAAGATAAAAGCAATGTTAAAATTCTCATGATAATTTAAAATGCTATTTTAACACCTTTAGTAACAAACACAACTATATGAAAACACAATTTTTTTCCCTAAAGGCCAAACATATTCAAATCTAAATAATGGGAATATAATGGAATTATGTAATATCTTCCAAATTGTTATTTTATTCAGATAATCACATTTTGTAATATGATTATATTATTGTTATCATAAGAAAAGGAAACTAAAAATTAGACAAGGATTTCTTAAGTCAGATTCATTGATTTATCTCAGACTCAGACTTGGAAGAGAAATGGAATAATCCTCTATCAGTCTCCCCTGCCTAATGTCAATGTTTCCGAAAAACATTAAAAACCAACGGAAATTTTAAAAAACCTCCCAATTATACATGCCACTCCTAATGACATCCTCCCTTTATTTATAAATCCATAGAGCTCAGCAATAAACTGTTTATGCCTACAGCATCACTGATCTGTTGTTTAATTTACTGTCACCAAGAACTCCAAACCAAGGCAGCAACTGTACTTTATAGTGAACACTACCAAAATTAAATACTAAACATCAGGCAGAGCTTGAATTAGAAGCTACAACCTTCCAATGGACTTCAAATGTTTTATAGAAATTGTCCCATAAATTTTAAGACACACATTTATTTTGTCCAAGAAATTGTTCCTAGAAGGTGATGAGAAGTCTCTGTATTTCATTATCCTTTTCCCAAAGTTGTATTTCATCATGGTCATGGGGTCAGGCATCTTGTTAAGAATATACTCAACACAGTACAGCTCATGCCACATACTAAGTGCTAAGCAATCCTTTTCAAGTTCCTGAATTTGTGTGCTCATCCCCTGAATCTAAACGACAGTAATCATAACATCCTTTAAGGTAACCACAAGTAGCAAAATATAAAACAAGTAAACAGCAGCATTCTTCTAGGAATTAGGGAAAATATTAGAAAAACAATTTGGCAATGCTGGTATGAACTTGGCATTTAGTTTGTACTTCAGTGAAATAGACACTAAAGAAGTGGGCAGGACAAGTTTATTTTCTTATATTCTTGAGAGAAAATAAAACAATATACTTAGTAAAATGAACATCCATGGCTCTTTGATGGTCTATCTGTAATAGTTTATCTTTATGCAAAACATATGCCTAGTTTCTGACTCAATTTTAAACCAAAATCAATATTACAATTTCAATATGTCAAAGACATTAGAAAAATTTGAACTATATACATTTGCAAGTCAACAGGAAAAGATCAATCACTGAATGAAATGAAATGGCAAAGAATATGACCAACAAAAAAGAAACTACAAATAGCTCAAATATATGAGGCATAATTTCATTACTATACTGGTATAACATTTTTGACTACTTAATATAGATTATATACTGTGCTTTACAAATATGAGCTCATTTAATTTTCATTTTCTGAAGTAGGTATCATCATCACCTCCATTTTATAAATGAAACAGCATAGCTAATTAGGCAAGTCACACAGAGAGTAAATCATTCAGCTGAGACATGACCCTCAACAAACAGGTTCCAGAGCTTGTGCTTAGGAGCACTATTGTCCTGCCTCTTGACATCACTCAAATAATGTAAATTAAAACTGTGATGGGATACCATGATCTCCAAGGTGCAGAACAGTAATATGTATTGTTCCTGAAAAGATACATAAGAAATTGGCAACCTCTGGGAAAAATCACTAGGTAGGTATGGGAAAGAGGTGGGAAGACTTACTTCTCAACCCTTTGTAACCTTCTGAAATAAAAATAACAATACTTTATAGGTTCCTGTTTACAGCTCTTCAAACATTTGAGACACTTACACATAAATTTAATATTTTTATTTCCTCAACCACCCTGTGGGGCAAACTGATCGAATACATGCTCAGCAAATGATATCACACCCACCACTCTGAAGGTAGGTGTGATAAGTATCCTACTTTAAAAAAAAAAAGAGGTAGGAAGCAAAAATTAACCACAGTTCTTCAAGTGTTGAAAACCTGTTGTAAATGAAAATACTACAATAATAAAAATTTTTTTAAAAACCACTGCTGCCTCACCAGAATTCATAAGTTTCCAAAGTTGATCCACCAAGGCTTCATTGCATAAGGGAGAATCCATGTTCTTAGTAAATGGTGGGTTCTTAGTCAACATGTTTAGAATCTTATGTCTGAAAGATAAAAGAAAAATTAATTTTTGCTGACCATTAAATAAAAACATTTCAAAATTGTGTGCAGTTCCTCCTTTCTATTTTATCATCTTCCTTCTTAGATCTAGCTTGGTGTTTAAGTTTAGATTCATTTAAAAAGATATTATGTTATATCCCATACATTTACTACTGTTTTTTCACTAAAAAATTCCAGTGGGTTCTTCCTAAAATCACTTTAGTGTACAATGAGGTCCTCTAAAACCTGAACCAACTTACACATCCCACTTGTAAAATGAACATTTTACTCTCCGTAGTGCAGGATAATTTTAAATATAGAAATTGCAAAAAGTTTTCCTCAAAATCAGCTGAGGTTTAGGAATATAAATAGTATACTCACAGAGGGTAACAAACTTCACTACTCAGAATTTTTTATCTCATGTAAGAGGCTACCTGAACACATTATGGAGTCTTCTGAAAAACAAGGCAATGTCAATAAAAATATGCAATTCTATGAGTAGGAAATACCATAAAAAGAAAAAGGAAAAAGAAAAGGAGAAGCAAAGAAGTCACTACAGTAGTCCAGATTTTAGAGACTGGATAAAAGCCAGGCCCAGAACTAGGTCGGAGAAAGTCAAGACCTCAGAGTAATGGAATGCTTGGACATCACTGAGGAAGAAAGGAACTTACGCTGTAATTATGAGATCAGCAAAACCTTAGAGAAGGTGAACCCAGGAAATTTTTACATTTAACTGTCTTAGTAAGGTATCAAATTGGGTTTGAACTTGAGAAGGAAATGAGAAGATAGCAGAACTGGTAGGTTGTAGTTTCTAAGTCATTTAAACCCTCTTGGCTTCAATTTCATGTCATAAAACTGAAAGATGTGGTTTTTCACTGTTAACATCTGTTCATGCTTTGAAATTTTAAGACTCTATGAAAGACTATGGGAAAGCTATGAGAACAAAAAGTGAAATGCGGTTAGAGATGCAATTTACAAATAGGTAATATGAAAGGGGTTACACATTTATAGATATATCATATCTATATTTTCATATCTTTATGGAAAAACAAATTCCTACCCTTAAGGACCTCTAAATCTATTCATAAGAATAGATCAGAGGGAAGAACCAAGATGGCAGTGTGAGTTCAGTGGAAATCTCCTCCCAAAAACATACATATTTTTGAAAATACAACAAACAAAACTATTCGCAAAAGAGACACCAGTGAATACAGTACAACAGCCAGGCTACATCTACATCTGCGAGAACTCAGCATCACATGAAGTGGGTAAGATACAAGCCAGGGCCTGGTGGGACCAAAGCACCCCCCTACCCCAGCCCCCTGGGGGGAAGAAATGAGTCAGGGTGGGGAGGGAGTGAAAGCCCACGACTGCTAAACAACCAGGTCTAGTAATCTCCACTGGGAGTGCAGACACACGGTGCACAAAAAGCAAAATCTGCGAGCGGGTCACTGCAACTGGCACCCCTGGGACAAAAGAAAAGCAAGTGCGTTTTGCAAGTCTTAAAGGGACAGGGACCTCACAGCTGGTCGGAGTCATCCAAGCACACTCAGCCTAGCACCTGGGAATCCCGGGGAACTCTAGGCGACCTAACCCCCTGGGCAGTAGCACAGCTCTGAAGCCCCTCACAGCGATAAGAAGCCTGCTAGTTGTTCCCCCAACTGGCATGGGCCCCAACACACCGGATCAATAGTGGGAGGGAGGCCACACATGCTAGAGGCGGCACCAGAGGGCCTGGGAGTGGACTGTGTGAGCCAGCAGCATCAGCGGTGCCAGAGGGGTCAAGGAGCGGCCGGCACGAGCCAGCGGCAGCAGCACCACAGAGACCTGGGGGCGGTCCACGCGAGCCTGAGGCGGCCAAATGGCCCAGGAGGAGCTGCGTCCGCAGCAGCCGCCCAAAATCTCAGCCCAGCGCACAGCCGCCTGGGCCACACCCAAAGGATGCAGCCAGCACACAGCAGGCCAGTGGGGGCGCCGCTTTTGAAGGAGAGCACACCCAGCAACCCTGCCACTCCCTGCAGGGCTCTGCACTGCTCTGACAGAGGACCCGCCCATAGCAGCTTAGGGGATTAACCCAGAGGCTGCTCCAGGAGTGCGGGTAACAGATACAGGCAGCGGAGAAGGGCAAGGTGACCAGCAAGCAAGAAAGGACGTGGTTCTCCCAGCTGACACACACACTACCTAACTAACAGCTACCTCTATCACCATGAAAAGGCAGAAGAAATTGGTCCAGTCCAAAATTAACCAGAAAATCCCCGAGACAGGGCCTGGGGAGATACACATAACCAATCTCCCCAAAAAAGAATTCAACAAAAGGTCATAACCATGCTGATGGCTCTGCAGAGAAATATGCAAGAGCTAAAGGAGCAAGTACACAGGGAGAATACAGAAATAAAACAATCTCTGGAAGGACTTAAGAACAGACTAGATGAGGTGCAAGAGGTTGTTAACAGAATAGAAATAGAACAGGAATGCAGAGAGGCTGACGCACAGACAGATAAAAGGATCTCCAGGAATGAAAGAATATTAAGAGAACTGTGTGACCAATCCAAACGGAACAATATCCGCATTATAGGGGTACCAGAAGAAGACAGAGAAAAAAGGAAAGTGTCTTTGAAGAAATAATTGCTGAAAACTTCCCCAAACTGGGGGAGGAAATAGTCACTCAGACCATGGAGACCACAGAACTCCCAACACAAGGGACCCAAGGAGGACAACACCAAGACATATAATAATTAAAATAGCAAAGATCAAGGACAAGGAGAGTGTACTAAAGGCAGCGAGAGAGAGAAAAAAGGTCACCCACAAAGGAAAACCCATCAGGCTATCATCAGACTTCTCAACAGAAACCTTACAGGCCAGAAGAGAATGGCATGATACATTTAATGCAATGAAACAGAAGGGCCTTCAACTAAGAATACTGTATCCAGCACAATTATCATTTAAATATGAAGGAGGGATTAAACAATTCCAAGACAAGCAAAAGTTGAGGAAATTTTCCTCCCACAAACCACCTCTACAGGGTATTTTAGAGGGACTGCTCTAGATGGGAGCACTCCTAAGGCTAAATAGATGTCGCCACAGAAAACAAAATCACAGCAAAGAAAGCAGACCAACCAAATACTAACTAAAGGCAAAAATAAAACTGTCACTATTTGCAGATGACATGATATTGTACATAAAAAACCCTAAAGACTCCACTGCAAAATTACTAGAACTAATATCGGAATTCAGCAAAGTTGCAGGATACAAAATGTAACACACAGAAATCTGTGGCTTTCCTATACACAACAATGAACTAATAGAGAAATCAGGAACACAATTCCATTCACAATAGCATCAAAAAGAATAAAATACCTAGGAATAAAACTAACCAAGGAACTGAAAGACCTATACCCTGAAAACAATAAGACACTCGTAAGAGAAATTAAAGAGGACACTAACAAATGGAAACTCATCCCATGCTCCTGGCTAGGAAGAATTACTATTGTCAAAATGTCCATCCTAAAAATAAATAAATAAAAGCAAATAAAAATAAAAATAAAATAAATGGCCATCTTACCCAAAGCAATATACAGATTCGATGCACTCCCTATCAAATTACCAACAGCATTCTTCAATGAGCTGGAAGAAATAGTTCAAAAATTCATATGAAAACACCAAAGACCCCGAACAGCCAAAGCAAACCTGAGAAGGAAGAACAAAGTGGGAGGGATCTCACTCCCCAACTTCAAGCGCTACTACAAAACCAAAGTAATCAAGACAATTTGGTACTGGCACAAGAACAGAACCACAGACCAAGGGAACAGAATAGAAACTCCATACACTAACCCAAACATATATGGTCAATTATTATATGATAAAGGAGCCATGGACATACAATGGGGAAATGAAAGTCTCTTCAACAGATGGTGCTGGCAAAACTGGACAGCTACATTTAAGAGAATGAAACTGGATCACTCTCTAACCCCATACACAAAAGTAAATTCAAAATGGATCAAAGACCTGAATGTAAGTCATGAAACCATAAAACTCTTAGAAAAAAACAGGGAAAAATATCTTGGACATAAACATGAGTGACTTCTTTATGAATATATCTCCCAAGGCAAGGAAAACAAAAGCAAAAATGAACAAGTGGGACTATATCAAGCTGAAAAGCTTCTGTACAGCAAAGGATACCATCAATAGAACAAAAAGGTATCCTACAGTATGGGAGAATATATTCATAAATGACAGATCCGATAAAGGGTTGACATCAAAATATATAAAGAGCTCACGCACCTCAACAAACAAAAAGCAAATAATCTAATTAAAAAATGGGCAGAGGAGCTGAACAGAGTTCTCCAAGGAAGAAATTCAGATGGCCAACAGGCACATGAAAAGATGCTCCACATCGCTAGTCATCAGAGAAATGCAAATTAAACCACAGTGAGATATCACCTCACACCAGTAAGGATGACTACCATTCCAAAAGACAAACAACAACAAATATTGGCAAGGTTGCAGAGAAACGGGAACCCTCCTACACTGCTGGTGGGAATGTAAACTAGTTCAACCACTGTGGAAAGCATTACGGAGGTTCCTCAAAAAGCTCAAAATAGAAATACCATTTGACCCAGGAATTCCACTTCTAGGAATTTACTCAAAGAATGCAGCAGCCCAGTTTGAAAAAGACATATGCACCCCTATGTTTATCGCAGCACTATTTACAATAGCTAAGAACAGGAAGCAACCTAAGTGTCCATCATTAGATGAATGGATAAAGAAGATATGGTACATATACACAATGGAATATTATTCAGCCATAAGAAGAAAACAAATCCTACCATTTGCAACAACATGATGGAGCTAGAGGGTATTATGCTTAGTTAAATATGCCAGGCAGAGAAAGAGAAATACCAAATGATTTCACTCATATGTGGAGTATAAGAACAAAGAAAAAAACTGAAGGAACAAAACAGCAGCAGAATCACAGAACCCAAGAATGGACTACCAGTTAACAAAG